TTGTTGCGGCTCCGTGGGTCCGTCTGACCCCCCCTGCTCCGGCTGTTGCAGAAGGGAAGGAAGGAAGACCCCCTCCCTCCCCCCTCCCCCGGGACTGCTCAGGCCAGGGCCGTGCTCACGCGCACCTCCCCCAGCGGGCCAGGCGAGTGGGAAGCTGACCCGGGCAGGCGCGAGGCTAGCTTGTGGCACCCAGGACCCCCCGGGCATGTTTCTGGGAGGTCTCCAGGCCCCACTGGGAGGTTGGCATCGCCTGGGGGCACCACAAGCTGGCCTCGCCTAGGGTGCAGAAACACCTTGGGCCGGCCCTGACTCCACCCCCAAAATCTCCAGGTATTTGCCAACCCAGAGCTGTCAAATGGCAGCTTCAAAGGGCAGACTCTATGGCAGCACATCCCTACTGAGCTCCCAATAGGGTTGCCAGGTTTCCCCTCTGTGGTAGAAAATTTGTCACTGCAAGCAGTGGAGGGAGGGGGGATTTAAAGCTGGTATTGCACAAGGAGTGTTGACACTTCTAGGGAAAATCCATATCACTCTAGGGATTGCCGGAAACTCTATAGACTGAAACAACATCACTTCCAGGTTCCACTTCCACACATGATGTCCCCACCCAAAAAGCTCCCACAGGTTGCCCGCCATGGCCTGACAAGCATTGCTCCATCCTCTCCATGCTTCCCAGGGAGCTCTCCCAAATCTCTAGGAATTTCCAAAGCCACAGTGGGGCAACCCTACCTCCATCAACCCCTCGCTTGCTAGTTGTGAAGGTCTTTCCTTGGTTTCTTGTTCAATGACAACAGCCTCTTCTTGCTCATCCATCACTCCCATCAGCTGATGTTCTATCCATCACACTGATATTCCGCACTTCGTCTGAGGATCTCAGAATGACACACCTAGCTCTCCCTTCCTCAGTCTTATCTTCCAAATAACAACCCTGTGAGGTAGGTTAACACAAGAGAAAGAGTGACTGACCCAGGTCACCCAGTGAGTTTCATGGCAGGTTAAGAATCTAAATCCAAGCCTCTCTGATCTAGGGTTGCCAAGTCCCTCCTCGTAACTGGTGAGGGATGGGGGGACTTACCAGTAGAAAGAAGAAGGCCTAGGCCACACTGCCAATGTTGGACATGAACTGTGTCCCTGGTTGTGTTTTCCCAACCGAATTTGAAAAACACACAAAACAGTCCTGTAGAGAAGAAACACTAAAAAATTTATTAATTAATAAGGGAAGAGCACCGATAAACAAGGTTACAATGGGTGACATAGAATTTTATACTCAATATAACATAAACAAACAAAGCATATCCATTGGTTCCATCAAACATCATCACAAATTTCTAATTTGGCTAAGACCTGTGGGTTGGGTCTTCCCAAGTAAAGTTTTTTTTTTCTTTTAGGCAAACAATAGGCGCTTTTTCTTCTCAGGCTATGAAGTTCTACAGGTATCTATATAGCTGATAGAGTTACAGGGTGTTATTATTCTCCATTTAGCTAGGCTAACCGACATCAGAAACATGCGCAGCTGTAGCTGGGCAGCCAAGGCCATGAGCCTTAGCAGAATAACAATGTAGCAGCATTTTCATTCTCCCAGCATGCATTTAAGCAACAGCCATAAATAAACCAAAGTTAATATCTAAATATATGTTCATGATTGATTTCTGTTTATGTGGTTAGAATCATAAATGGCACTTCACACACACACACACACACACATATATAAAGGAAGGGCTAAGTGTACCTATTAAGTTAACCTGTTAGTCAGTGGCAGAGTACAAAATGTATAACACTGTTTCATAAACGGTGTGTACAACACCAATGTGACACAGGAAGTGACATCATACTAGAGTTTTTGCCAAAATACTAGAACATCACCTGGAAGTAACTGATGTGATGGTGTCACTTCCTGCACAATGCCAGCAACGTGGCCTAGGCCTTTTTCTTTCTAGTGGTAAATCCCCTGCCAGCCAGCTGATTGGCAGATGGGGGCAGGGCCTGGCAGCAGGGGACCCCCCGCCTCCACGGGGGGGGGGGCGTCTGGCAACCCTACTCTGATCCCAGTTTGACACTTTCTCCTGTACCACTCAGGGCCTATTGTTAATGCCTGAGTCGTACAACCAGTCTTGGAGCTTTTTTTCCTGTTCTTTCCCTCCCCAATTTCTCAAACATTGCTCTAAGGAGTTTACATCAAGGTTAGAATACAAATGCATAACATGTCAATTATTGTCATAAAATTATCTAACAAAGAATCAATGACTTTGTAATAAATAAAGCTGCTGACAGCCGCCACAACCCTCCAGACAAAAGACGCCCTTCGCTTTCCATCACACCCAGGCCTGACCAACCCAAATTATATGAAAATAAATCACAGAACAAATAAGCTAATAAATAGTTCTCACTTGGTCCATCAGACATTCAGTTGTTTCCATTTTATCCCACTAGGGTTCCCAAATCCCCCCGGGGGGCGGAATTCCCCCCGGTTTCGAGCCCCAATTCCCGCTCCCGCGGAATCGGGGCCCGGGGCTGCCATTTGAGGGGAAAACGTGTGACGTCACTTCCGAGTGACGCTCCAGAAGCGCGCGCATGCACGTCCCCGGCCGGCTCCCGGAGCGACAGGACACTCCCCCGCCGGTAAGATTTTTCTATTTGGCAACCCTATATCCCACTCTTCCTCTAAGCATCTCTGGGCAGTAGGGATCCCAAGTCCCCCCGGGGGGGCGGGGAAACCCCCGCCCCAGAGGCCTGTTCCCCGACGCCGCAGGATTGGAACTCCTCCCCGATGTGCGCGTCACCAGGAAGTGACGCAGGCACGCCGGGCACGCTGGGGGCGGGGCCACAGCCATACAAGGGAAAACTCTATGGTTTTCCCTTGTATGGTCGTGGCCCCGCCCCCAGCATGCCCGGCTTCATAAGTCACTTCCTGGTGATGTGTATGCGGCACGCACGCGCGCTCCGGGAGTCCCCTGTGGATGAGGTAAGTGACACTTGGCAACCCTACTGGGCAGTATATATGGTTCTTGTTCTCCTACCTTTCTCACCCATTTTGCAACGATCATGTGAGGTAGGTTAGAACAAGAGAGAATGAGTGGCCCACAATCATACTTCACTTTTCTTTCCCCTTCCCCCAATAAATGTCCCCAATGTGTGGAATTTATAGCCACATGCCAGCAGTACCTTGTCCAGCTCTCAAGGGCCAAAGGGCAACCTAGCTCTCTGGAATTTAACCCTCTTGCGCCCGCCCTGGCATGATCATATTCCATCAATAAGGAAGCTAGACTTAGTTTAAGGCCAAGAAGATGGATATGACTTCGCATAACTGAGGCACAGGCCTGCTACTGGTGGTACAGCCGGATTTCCCAGCTAGGATCTCTAACTCTGGGCTGGACAATTTCTGGAGATTTGGGGGTAGATCATGTGGAGGGCAGGTTTTAGAGAGGGGAGGGGGAAGAGCTCAGTGGTAAAGTGATGCCATAGAGTCCATCCTCCAAAAACAGCCATTTTTCCCCCAGGAGAAATTGTCGCTGTAGTCTGGACATAAATTATAATTCCAGGGCATCTCCAGGCCCCACCTGGAGGTTGGCAACCATATGATCAGCTAGTTTTGACTTTGGTTTTAAAAATTCAAAGAACATCAGGATGTCTTCCCTTCCTCAGCATCATCTTGTCATTCAGCAAAGATGATCTAAGACAATTCAATCTGAGAAAGAAAATCCAAATGGCACTCCCATTGTGATAAAAGTACATTAATCAACAAAAGAATTGGCAACTCGCTGTCCTTGGATTATATCCCCAAATCTGTTGTTTGAAGTGAATTGTCTTATTCTGCCTAATGGTGGGACAGGCCCTAGTTTCAGGAATCTTGGTTGACTTCAGGAACATTTATCTATCCATTCATTTCTCTTGTTGTTGTTCAGTCACACAGTCCAGTCCGACTCTTCGCGACCCCATGGACCAGATCACACCAGGCCTTCCTGTCTTCTGCCGTCCTCTGAAGTTGGCTCAATTTCATGTTCGTTGCATCTATGACACTGTCTAACCATCTCATCCTTTGCCGTCCCTGTCTTCTTTGACCTTCAATCTTTCCAAGCATCAGGGCCTTCTCCAGTGAGTGCTCCCTTCTCATTTGGTGGCCAAAGTATTTGACCTTCAGTTTCATTATCTGGCCTTCCAGGGAACAGTCAGGGTTGATTTCTTTTAGGATTGACTGATTTGATCTTCTTGCAGTCCAAGGGACTCTCAAGAGTCTTCTCCAGCACCATAGTTCAAAAGAATCTATTCTTCTGCGCTCGGCCTTCCTTATAGTCCAACTCTCGCAGCCATACATGACTACTGGGAATACCATTGCTTTGACCATGTGGACTTTTGTTGTCAGGCTGATGTCTCTACTTTTTATCATGCTGTTTAGGTTCGCCATCGCTTTCCTCCCGAGGAGCAGGCGTCTTTTAATTTCATGGCTGCTTTCATTTCTCTAGTTGCTGTTAATTTCCTCCTGTGATATACTCACCACCAAAGCACTCATCTTCCTCAGTTCTTTAAAAGAAATTCCCCATCCACAAAAACTAAAAAAAAAATACTTTGGGGAGGGGTTGTTCTCCTTTTGCTAGGTTAGAGCTGGTGAGGACTTTATGCTAACTATAAGGGCAATAGGCCAGTGGTTCTCATACTCTGCTGTCTTCATTCTGTTCTCCCCGCCCCCCATTGCCTTGTGTTTTCCTTTGTTGCAGCAAAGCCTGAAGGCTGAACTGAACAGCATTCTCCAGCCAGCTTATCACTTTAGTTTTTCCAACAGTGAGTGGTTCATATCTTTCAGTGGCAACTGTCAGTGTCTCTCCCTTCCCCTTGCCCTCCTTCCTTCTTAAAGTCAGGAATGTTGATCTCTCACCCCAGTGAGCCGTCACCTGTCTAAATCTGTCCTTGTGTCACACGCATATATGGAGAAAGTAAGTATGGCAACCAATGACGTTCTGCTTCTAAAATAGACCCAGCTCCCTTCAGTCTGTTTAAACAATGTCCTCCAGGGAAAGAACCTCAAAGGACATCTGATCACACAAGCTTTGGAATTCTTTCGGGGACCTAATCCGGAAACTGGTCGGCAGCACCCTGATTCTGAGCCTCTGCTCCTTGGAATCGCTAGGAGATGAGCACCTCTCTTAGTTACAAGTCTTTTTCCAAAGAGCAACAAACTATGGATAACTTAGAGAAGCAACTGATTTGTCCCATATGTTTAGAGATGTTTACCAAGCCGGTGGTTATCCTTCCCTGTCAGCACAACCTCTGCAGAAAATGTGCCAGTGATATCTTCCAGGTAGGTTTATTCAGTCATTTAAAATGGATTGAAAATGTACAAAATAATATATTATAAAATTAGGGCATTGTTTATGTTAGTTTAAATAAACAAGATTTTTCTTACAAGGAAAAATAAGGAGAAATTTAATTTGAAAAGAGAATGTCTTTGTTATTTATTTCGATCCCTTACACTTGGAAATGTCCCTATTTTATTTATGTAGATGGAATTGTTATTTCAAGTATTCAGAGATATTAACACGTAAATCCATTCCTGTTGTTCCCCAACACCTCTAAAAATGGCAATTTTTCTCTCAAGCATAAGTTGTTGTTTTATTATTAGCTAGCAGGCATTAGACAAATGTTATTGGAAGTTATTTATCTTTTTGTGTATTTTCGGGACAGAATTTGGCCTCGAATCCAAGGTAAGTTGTCTTACAAAGTCCTTTGAAGTCATAGGAGTAAATGTGCAGAAACATTAGATCATAGCTTACGCAGACAGAATGATTTTGATCTTGTGATGCCAAAAATGAGAGCACTTAAAATAATTGGGAAGAACTGAAAGAATGCATAGTTGGCTTTACAAGGATGTGATTTTATTGTTTGGCAAGAACAGGCCTCAAACCCATACCTGCCAACCAGAGGAGGCACTACTGTAGCATCGGGAGGTCGATTCCGCTGCCCCTCTTGCAGACATGAAGTGGTTCTAGACAGACATGGTGTATATGGTCTTCAAAGGAACCTTTTGGTGGAAAATATCATTGATATATACAAGCAGGAATCTACCAGGTAATAAACTTCCCTTGAAGGGTTCTCTGATGCTGGTTCTATTTGCTATTTGCTATGGAAATAGGGGTGCCAGCCCCCCCCCCCAGCCCACCAGCAGAGGATGGGCAAGTAGGGTTGTCCAATCCAGATTGGGGTAAAGCCTGGGGAGGACAGGAAACTCAGTGGGGTAGAATGCCATAGAGTCCACCCTCCAAAGCAACCATTTTCTACAGGTTAACCGATATCTGAAGTTTGGAGATGAGCTGTAATTCCAGTGGATTTCCAGGTTCCACCTGGAGACTGGCATCCATATACGGAAACAAATGGAATTGTTCTGAGACTAGGGTTGCAAGATCCTCCCAAGCACCGGCCGGGGATGAGGGGGTAGGGTTTTCAGCTCCAGGTAGGGAAACTCCTGGAGATTTGGAGATGGAGCCTGGAGAAAACAGGGACATCAGTGGAGCACAGTGCCATAGAGACCACCCTCCAAAGCATCCATTTGCTCCAGGAGAACTGATCTCTGTAGTCTGGAGATGAGCTGTAATTCTAGGGAATTCCCAGGTTTCACCTGGAGGCTGGTATCCCTACCTGGCTGGGACATTTTAGGAATTTTCATCCTGGAAGTTGTCTGCTGCTGCCCACAGCCTGGGCGTAGCTCTATTTCCCCTATTCCAACTTTTTTCTTCTTCTTACCAGTTGGGTGAGGGAGGAATCATAACAAACCACATATAGAAGAAGAAAACAGTGAGACTCAGCAACAGGCATCATTGGATCAGAGCCCATTGCTCCCTGTTAAATGTAGCTGGGCCTGGGTTCTTAAACTGTTGGTACAAGGCAGGATTTGCATTACAAGAAGCGAGCTTTGTTTGCTTTATCTTTTGATGGGGAGGAGCTTCATCTTACTGGATGCCAGGCAAGCCTCTCTGGGTATTATAGAATGTTGGCAGTTGTGGTTTATTGTTTTGTGGAATTACTGGCTCTCTAGCAACACTCAAAATGGTATGAGTGTTTGCCCTCCACATCTGAAGAGTGGACCTACAATTAATTCATCACATAAGCAGCCTTTGTTTCTGTGTACACTCAGGCAAATCTAGGGGCTTACAGGCATACAACTGAGAAAGAAAACATGCTGTGGCCCATCAAGTCAGCAAACTGGGTGTGCTCCTCTGATTTGTTTGTATACCTTCCTCCTCTGCATATGTCACCACCAATGCTCCCTCTAAGCTGTGGAGTCTTGTGAGCAAAAAAATCTACTCTGTGAGCTACCGGCATTCAAATGGTGAGCGAGCGATTTGGCTGCTGCATTGAACTAGTTTGCTCTGGAGCCATCTTTCCTGAGCTAGGGCAAAAATGTGTGAGCCGGAGGCTAAAAAATGGTGAGCTAGCTCACACTAACTCAGCTTAGAGGGAACACTGCTCAGGAGCCATCCTTCCTGAGCTAAGACAAAAATGTGTGACGTGGAGACTAAAAAACTGTGAGCTAGCTCACACTAACTCAGCTTAGAGGGAACACTGCTCAGGAGCCATCCTTCCTGAGCTAAGACAAAAATGTGTGACGTGGAGACTAAAAAACTGTGAGCTAGCTCACACTAACTCAGCTTAGAGGGAACACTGGACAACATTCCAGCACTTTTGAAAATCAAGCATCAAGCACACCAGCAATAAGAATAACAGATGTAAAGTTTAAAGGGGAAGGAATCAAAATCCTAGTGGGTATATACCAGCTGTGGAGTTCTCTTAAAGTAGTTCTCCAGATTGTAATCGAGACTAGGCAGCTCTCTATAGTACAGGTCTGAGGAAGGATTAAGCCTAAAGAGAGTTTTCGGTTTATCTTTGCAGTGTTTGTTCCATTGTATTCTGGCTGTGTTCACACTGGAGGCTCGCTGCAATCTGGGTGTGCCTCTAATTGCACCGTTTTAAAGTGTTACAGGGCAGACCAACCAGACAGCACACCCTGGGGCGGTTTCCCCATGCTCTCATCTGGTGGTAATGCATTCATATTAACAGGGCCGGCTCAAGGTGTTTCTGCGCCCTAGGCGAGGCGCAGATGCCAGCCTCCCGGTGGGGCCTGAAGGCCCTTTTGCTGCCGCCTCCTCCTCCCCCCCAGGGGGGAGGGGGAGGGTGGGTGAGCTGCGGCGCCGCCTCCTGCGACCCAGCCGGACGTCTTCCTGCTTCTTCTGGCGGTGGCGAGTCATCACTGGCTGTCGCCATGCCACCTCTGCCTCCCCCCTGAGGGGGGAGGGGGAGGGCGGGCGAGCTGCGGTGCCATCTCCTGCACCCTGGCCGGGCGTCCTCTTGCTCCTGCTGGCAGCAGCGAGTCCCCGCTGGTGGCCGCCATGCCGCCTCTGCCTCCTCGCCGCCTTCTTTCCTTCCTCCCTCCCCTGCTTCCCTCCCTCCCTCGCCGGCGCAGAGGGGGGGGCAGACGGGCAGAGACCCTCAATCCCCGCCGCCTTTCTTTTCTCTCTCGCCAGGAGTGGGGGCTCAGCTGCCACAGGGCCGGAGGGTGCAACCCCCCAGCGCTTCCCGCCTCTGCTCGCTCGCCAGCCACCATAGCAGCCGCGATCGCCCGGTTAGGGCGGTGGGGGGCTTTCGGCGGGGCGCAGTTTGGCACCCCAAAGGCCGGTGCGCCCTAGGCAAGCACCTAGTTCACCTAGCGGGCAAGCCGGCCCTGCATATTACTGCAGTGCCTCAACCATGGAGCACACTGCCCAGGCTTTTATTTTAATGCAGGCAGATGCATGCACATATGCGCTCATGCATATATGTGCATATAGATAGCAACTAAAAAAAAACAGTGGCAGAAATGGATCTGTGGGTTCAGACTTCCCTTCCGGGTTCCTTTTGTGGCAAGAGAGTCAAGACGTCCAGGAAAGCAGAGTGGAAGTACTGGCATCTGTAAACACCGGACTTTTCCCGGTGCTTGATTACTCTACTTCCAAAGTGGGGCAACATGGGGTGCCAACAACTGGGGCACAGAAGGCAGGTGCCACTGTCTGATCATGCTGTTTAAATCCACAAAGGTAACACTACTATATTTCGGCAAACTGCTCATGTGACCACCGTCTCTGACTTGTTGCTCCTGCTGCTTTCTGTTTCTAGTAGTGACACATTGCTACTTGGTACCTCTCACACAGGCTAATTAGTTAGGAAGTTTTGAATATGGAAGAGCTTACCTCAGACCTAGTTCTGATGAACAGCATATGAGGTGGTAAACTTGAACCTGGCCTGCTCCTTAGAAAGCTACCAGGGAGAGACAATTGGGTTAGAATCTTTCCCCCTGACAGCTGTTTTTCTATAGGGAGGGAAGGTTTTTGTATGAAGAAGTCAATCCCACTTTTAGCCTGAAATTATAAAGTTCAGTCACAGATGTACTGTCGTATCTACTGGTTGTGAGAACTAAGCTTCAGTAGATGAAGAACCTCAGATCATTTTACTGTTATACATTTAGATTACTCATGGATACCTGTGTAGAATATGTAACCAGGAGAGCTTTGTCTCCCCTGCTCCTTCAGTTTTGTATGTAGAAAAGTCACCCATATTTGTAAGTAGCTTCAAATAGGGTCACGCGCAAAGAGTCAGAGGCACTGTCAGAAAGTACCATGTAGCAGGTACCTGACCATGCTGACTACCCATGGGATTCGCGCCTTTGTTTTATAAATAGGTCTGAGCTGAATGCCCCCCCCCCTTTCAAACAGGTGTCTCCCTCATTTCTTGTTGATGGGGGAAGCTGCAAAATAGTGCAGAATGTCTATTCACTTACCACCAGTGGCAGCTGGCTCTTTGTAGCTGCTGGGCCCCATTTTTCCAGCTCTATTTTTAAGCAAAAGTAAGGATAGGGAGCAATGACCTCACCCTGTTTCAGCATCAAATGCTATCGCATATCTCTGGCTACAGGATGCTATCTTGAAGCTAAAACAGAGTGACTTGGTAAATTTAGCAGTATGTTTGTGAAGTATGTTTGAGCGGTGGCTCAAGTGGTTAAGACGCTGAACTGCTGGCTGTGGAAGGTCGGTAGTTCAGCAGTTCGAGACCCAGGTGTGCTGCATGACGGAGTGAGCTCCCGTCTCTAGTTCCAGCTCCTGCCAACCTAGCAGTTCGAAAGCAAGAAATTGCAAGTAGATAAATAGGTACCACTTCGGTGGGAAGGTATCAGCGTTCCGTGCGCCTTGGTGTTTAGTCATGCCGCCCACATGACCATGGAAACATCTTCGGACAGCGCTGGCTCTTCGGCTTTGAAATGGAGATGAGCACCACAACCCTGGAGTCGGACTTGACTAGCTTTCGAGCAAGGGAACCTTTACGTTTTTACCTTGTGAAGTTCCACAGTGGGACAGCAAATCATCCAAAGTCAAAAAAAGGGTGAGAGAGACGCTTCTTGCCTTTCCTGGAAGTAATCCTGACTGAGTAGACATCAATAGAGTTCTGAGTAGTCCTTCTTAAGATTGCTTTCTAAGAGAAGCTTAATTTTTTCACTGTTTGCCAACTTAGCCTGGAGAAAAAAAGTCTGGTCCATTTAATAGAAGTTCCACATGTGGAAACTGGTAGTTGAAGTCTTCATGGCATGGAGGTAAATAACATTTAATTAAGTCTCTAGTAAAAAGACAGCACGTTTTTCTCCTGGCTACTTGGCAACCACATATTGATTGTTTTGGAAACAGAGGATGTATTCTGAAGCCAGTGTGACTTCTCTGGATAAGTAATGCTGTAACAGACTGACTACTAAGATATTCTTTAAGAAAGGAGGCTGTGTCATAAGTTGAAAGTCTGCGCTTGGAACTGAAGTTCTTGATAGCAATGCTGACAAGAGCAGGGTATAAATATTAAAATAAATATATACCACGTATTTGGGGCCTACTCCTTCAATGCCTTGAAAGGTTGCTACTGTGGGATGCGGGTTCCTAAGTTCAGCAGTTAGTTAATTTGACTGTCTGCTTTATTTATTCATTTATTGACAAATTTTATACCCCACCTTACTGCGCAATCAGGGACACCAAGGCAGTTGACAAAACAGCACAATAAAAATGCATCATAAAACAAATGCAAAACCGGAGATAAAATACATATATGAAACACAAGACATCAACATTAAAAATACAACTTTTTAAAAACCTTTCCTGTTTGTGGTTTGGTCACTAAGCATGATTCCAGTGTCCAGCAACATGCTGATCATTTACAGTCTCATCAGATTTTTTGGAGTGCACTCAGACCAGCCAGTATAGAAAGTTCTCATGCCAACTTGACGGTTGTTTTCTACCTGTACGTATTTGGGTAGAAAATCCTTCTTTTGTGATTCCGAATTAAGAGCATGACTACATGTCCATGCAGACTGTACCAATAGCCCTGTTTTGGTTTTCCTACAACTGGGGTGCCCAAACTTTTTAAGCCTAAAGGCGCCTTTGGAATTTGTGGCGAGCACAAACAAAATGGCTGTTGCAAGAGGCGGAGAGAGCCACAAACTGGCAGGGTGTGAGGTTATGCATAACTCTAATAATAACTCTTCAGCATTTCAGGCAGAAGCTCTGCTTAACAAAGATGCCCTATTTTAAAAACACAAAGTATTCATTTTCTTGCTTACACCCAGCTTGCTTTCAGGCATGCAATGAAGATTATTGTGCTGTGGTGAGAGCTCCTGCCTAAGCAATTTTTGTCTGTTTTTGACCATCAGTTCTCCAATGGCCAATAAGAACCTTTGCTGGGCAACAGCTCCACCTGGAGCTGGCCACTTTCTAAAGACATTTCATGGACACCTGGAAAGGCGTCAGCAGCCTGCCTGGCTCCCAAGGTCACTATGTTGGGTACCCTGGCACTATACTAATATTGCTTTGGAAGAGGAATTTGAAGAATGGAGCAGGAGACATTATACTTTTGCCTTCAAATATACATCTGGATCCCTTATCTTTACTTATCTGGGATCCAGATGTATATTTGAAGGCAAAAGTATAATGTCTCCTGCTCCATTCTTCAAATTCCTCTTCCAAGCAATAAGTACATGATAATGTATATACTTACAACTGCAAGAATTTCGCTAGCTAGATATCGGAAACAAGAACATATTCCTACGCAAGATGAATTAACATGTAGATTATTAGAAATGGCAGAGATGGACAAGCTGAGTTTAACTCTACAAGGAAAGGATGAAAAGGTGTTTGAAGAAAGATGGAAGTGTCTGTATGATTGGATTAATTCAGATTGATAACGGTAGACTCCAAGATATTGATGTTAAGAATTTATATGTTAAAGGACTTGTATTTTATGGAAAACACATACACACACACACACACACACATACATCTGGATCCCCACAGTGTAGGTGTTGGTAGTGTCAAGTGGCTTTGAGGGCAATACACGGTGGAGAAGTAGTAGAGAGTAGTGACACCTCACTTATTATAACCCTTTCTGGAAGTTGCTGTTTTGCTTCTCAGATGAATATATTTAGACACAGTAATTTTGAATTCCCACACCAATGCTCTTTTCTGATATTGCTGCTGAGAATACTATAGATTACATAAACAGAGCTCTGTTGGGTCAGGCCAATAGCTCATCTGCTGCAGCATCATGTTTCCCACTGTGGCCAACCTGATGCTTCAGAGGCCAAAGCCCCACCCCCCCTGTTGTCACCTACCAGCAACTGGTAGACACTAGGCCCCTCCTCATTTGCAAGTCTCATTCATTTCCTCCACAAGAACTGCTCCTCTGGTGTAGGATCAATGTTGTCTGGAATAATTCTTTTTAAACAGATTTTTTTTTCCTCCAAATTTTTATCCCACCCTCCCGACCGAAGCTGGTTCAGGGCAGCTTACATAAAAACAGATAATTACATTAAAACATAGTTGCAGTTAAAGCAATTATAAAATCGTAATAACGTGCTAGTAATTATTGGTGTTCATATGACGGTAGCAGCCAGTATAGAAAGTTCTCCGCTTGCAGTCAGCTCTCGGTGTTTATTTTGAGTGTCCTTGCAGGGACCTCTCCCTTTGACCAACCGATGTTCTTCATTGGTGGTGGTGGTGGCTCCCAAATGCCTGGTGGAAGAACTCCATTTTGCAGAGCCTGCGGAACTGTAAAAGGTCCCTCAGGGCTCTGATCTCCTCCAGGAGCTCATTCCACCAGGATGGAGCTGCCACCAAAAAGGCCCTGGCCCTGTTTGTTGACAGTCTAGCATTCTTAGGACCCGGGAGGGCCAGCCAATTCTGGACCCCCGACCGCAGTGCTCTATGGAGGACATATGGGGAAAGGCGGTCCCTTAGGTATGTAGGTCCCTGACCATGTAGGGCTTTAAAGGTAAGAACCTATCGGCAGCCAGTGCAACGCATTCAGCGCAGGCTGTATGTGCTCCCACTTAGAGAGCCCCATCAAAAGCCTGGCCACGGCATTTTTCACCAGCTGCAGCTTCTGGATTTGAGACAAGGGCAGTCCCATGTAGAGAGCCTTACCATAGTCCAATCTCAAGGTGACCATCGCATGGATCACTGTCGCCAGGTCATTGCATTCGAGGAAGGGAACCAACTGCCTGATCAGCCGAAGATGGTAAAAGGCCAATTTGGCAGTGGCTGCTTCCTGGGCCTCCATAGTTAAGGTGGCATCCAGGAGCACTCCCAAGCTCCTAACCTCTGGTGCTGGCACCAATGGTGCCCCATCGAAGGTCGGCAGTGGGATCCCTAACCCCGTCCCACTCCGACTCAGGCACAGGACCTCCATCTTTGTCGTATTCAGTGTCAGTCGGCTAAGTCTAAGCCACAGCTTGTAATGCCCGGTCCAGATCTTCCGGAGTCAGACTGACCACCCAACAGTAGATAGAGCTGGGTGTCATCCGCATATTGGTGACAACCCAGCCCATGCCTCTGGGCAATCTGGGCAAAGGGGCACATGTAGATGTTGAAGAGCATCAGGGACAGCACCGCCCCTTGAGGCACACCACAGTCCAGTGGGTGTCTCTGGGATAGCTGTTCCCCTAGCACCCCCCTTTGTTCCCGACCTTGGAGAAAGGAGACAAGCCATTGCAAGGCTAGCCCCTGAATCCCCACATCGGCCGTAGGACAGAAGATGAGCAGAAGACCAACATAGGATGATGAGAGATTGGAGAGAGGACCCCTGAAAAATAGTTTCTGTAGGCTTGATACCCCCCCCCCCAATAGATTCAGGGGTTTCTGAATTTCAGAGCTCCCTGTTCTCAGTAACACTATTCTTTTTGTGTTCATTCTTTTGTGATACATTTTGTTTGATCTGTAGTCTTTCCTGATTGGGATTTTTAAAATTTATTCACAGGCCTGAAAGAAAAACTGAACAGCCGACATGTGACGAACATGAAGATGAGAAAATTAATATTTATTGCCTGAGTTGTGAAATGCCCACATGTTCAATGTGCAAAGTTTTTGGTGCTCATAAAGATTGCCAGGTTGCGCCTCTCACAAATGTTTTCCAAAGACAAAAGGTAAAAGTAACAATTCTTCCCATAAGTAGGACTCTTTTTTATTGTTCAGTCGCACAGTTGAGTCCGACTCTTTGCAGCTCCATGGACCACACCACACCAGGCCCTCCTGTCCGTCACTGCCCCCAGGAGCCTGCTCAACTCCATGCCTGTTGCATCGATAACACTGTCTAACCATCTCATCCTTTGCAGTCCCCTTCTTCTTTTACCTTTAATCATTCCCAGCATCAGGGTCTTCTCCAGTGAGTGCTCCCTTCTCATTTGGTGGTTAAAGTATTTGGGCTTTGGCATCAGTATCTGGCCTTCCAGGGAACAGTCAGGGTTGATTTCCTTTAGGATTGACTGATTTGATCTCCTTGCAGTCCAGGGGACTCTCAAGAGTCTTCTCCAGCACCATAATACGAAAGCATCTATTCTTCAGCTCTCGGCCTTCCTTACAGTCCAACTCTCACAGTCATACATTACTACTGGGAATACCAGTCATGTTTAAAAACAAGAAATTGAAACAAAATGCTCTATCCTCATATTCTTCACCAGGGCATGGGATTGCAATTTCTTTGTCTAGCTTTAAAAATTCATTAACTGGAACATTAATTATCATTGAAACTCAGGACCTGAACAGCTCTTTATGTGGAATATCCTCCTAAGAAATACAACTTAATTTCTTGAAGCAGAGCCCTTTACAAATACTGTGTTTAGATGGAACCTATAATTATATTTATTTATGTTTTGGGTAGAAACATCTCATTTTTTAACTGGAGAAAAACTTTGGGTGCTGTCCATGACTTTACCATCATCATAAGGAGATTCCGTTTAGTAAAGATATCTGTAAAGAGTGTTATGAATATTCATATCATTATCCATATAATCTACTATTTCGACCAGATATAATGTAAAAGCTCTGAGTAATCCTTCCCAAATTGCAGCATTTAGGAGATGTTCACCTAATGTGTATTCAAAGTAAATACCCCAGAAAAAATTGTGAGCAGCTGGGAAACTGGAATAATTGAACACTGAAAAATTTCAGAAAGTTAATAAAATCCTGCTCATTAGAGTTTAGTCAGATAACATTCCTGAAGGATAAGAAGATTATTTGAACGAACAGGATGTTTTGCAGTAACTGGCTTACGCAAATGTATATTGTTCAGCAAGATTATTTATTGTGGTTTTTCAACATTACATTTTCTTGCTTCTTCAAATAGTTAAGTATGTACATTTGACCAATATCGTTATGAGAATTTTTGGAAAACAAATCTCTCTAATGACAGCCAATAAGACCATTTAACAAAATCATCCATGGTGACATTTTATATTTACTTTATATTTTCCTGTTATTCTTGTTACTCCACAGTCTGAGCTCAGTGATGGTATTGCAGTATTAGTAGGAAGTAACGACAGAATACAAGGAATTGTAAGTCAGTTGGAGGAAGCGTGCAGAACAGTTGAGGTAAGCAGTTAATTTTACAATTTATGGATCTGGGTTTAGGTTTTAATTAGGACTATTAGATATGTACAAGTGGAGGCCCCACAAGGACTTGCAGGGGGCAACTCATTTTCCTCTCCTCCTCTATTTCCTCTTTCCCTTTCCCAAGAGTCCCCACAGCCTCTCTCCTTTTCCTGCTTTCCTTCCCACCCATCAGCCAACCTACCTTTATCTGCCCCCTGTCTTCAGTTTTCCCTCCTTCACTATCCATGGAAGCCTCTCCCTGGGAAAACTCCACATAGTTCTGGCTGATAGGCCAGCCCCAATTTCCAGGAATGTCCCAAGCTGGATTCAGCAGCCCTAACCAGTACTGAATCAGAGATGGATCTAGTTTAGTGCTGAGAATTAAAAAAAAAAACCTTTTCCCTAATGTGTGGAGAGGCCTAAAGAAAAAGGCCCTTGAAATTTTTTCTTCTGACTTTTTCTGTATGAACAGTTGATCTGCTGTAGCAATCCTCATCGCCAGTCATCTTGAGGACGAGGCATGCTACCTGCAGTAGTGAGGATTATGGTCAATTGTGGCCTGAAAAGTGAAGGGTGTGTGTGCAAATGGAGCGAGAAGAAAGTGAACAATGCAGGGGGATGGTGTTCTGGAGAAAGTGGGCAATAGGGACTGAAGATAATGACTGCAAAGGAATTGCTGATTTTACTCTCCTCTCTTTTGCTTCTGTAAGCCACCCAAAGCTGTTACTATAACTGTGAGTCCTTTAGGGGGAGAGAGGGAGGGTAGGGTTGCCAAATGGTACTCACCTCCTCGGCGGGGGACTCCTGGGGACCTCCCGGTGTGTGTGTGCGCGCGCACGACGTATTTACATCACCCGGATGTGACATCGCACGCTGGGGGCAGGGCCACAGCCATTTGAGGGGAAAACATCCCCCGGGGGCCGATTCTGTCGCGTCAGAAATCGGGCCACCAAAGCGGGGGATTCCCCGCCCCCCCCGGGCCCATTTGGCAACCCTAGGAGATATTGATGCAATTATGGTAAACCACTCTGAGCCCTAGGGATAGGGAGGGATATATATTCAATAAATGAATATGTATATATGTATCCCCTGTCCTGGATAGCTCAGGCTAGCCCAATCTCATCAGATCTCAGAAGCTAAGCAGGATCAACACTGGCTGGTATTTGGACAGGAGACCTCGGAGGAATACTGGGGTTGTGACACAGAGGCAGGCAATGGCAAACCACCTCTGAATGTCTCTTGCCTTGAAAACCCTTGAGGGTTGGCATGTCAGCAGTGACGTGGCAGCACTTTCCACCACCATGTATGTATGTATGTATGTACCACAGAATGCTGCTAAAGCTCATTTGCCAGACATGTGGGAACCATTCTGCTGTTGGAGGAAGATAAGTTGACCAGCCCTTGCAGGAACTGCTTGGCACTGCTGATGACAACAGGCACAGGTTTGCCAGTTATTTCCTCTCATGCCATCTCCAATCACTCTGCTCTGCCCTAGGCAGCGCCATTTTGGAGTGAGCTATCATGGTCAGTATTGTCTACACTGATTTGTGGCAGCTCTCCAGTGTCTCAAGTTGAAGCCATGTCCTACCTGCTCATTTTAACTGGAGATGCCAGGGATTGAATATAGAGTCTTCCATACGCAAAGCATGGTGCACCCCCAACACATATGTGCACTCTTGTATTATGGGATTGTATCATGTGGAAGTTGATGGGCATGCAAAAGGAATTAATTATGTCAGGATTTTGACTCAGTTGCATGTTAGGCCATCTGTAACAAACATTTAGCTGTTAGAATGGCAAGCAGTCTCTGGTTCTGACTTATAGTGGTTCATTCAGGTGTAAAACTGAAGACATAATGAAAATGACTACTGACATGCCAACATTTTCCATTGGTATACCTGCAGAAGAAAGCCCTTCTGAGCAGATTAATTTCCTTCTGCTGCTGGGTCTGCATGACCTTGGTGTGTGACTTCTTGCTTGTTACCATATTACTTTAGGAGTCAGAACTCCCATAAGGGTCAATTAGAGAGTGTCAGTGCTTAATTGGGAGCACCATGTGGTTTGTTTACTCTGCACACTTCCCCTGGAGACATCAGTAAGGGCATCTGAAACCTGCCACTCCTCTCATGACATTTTTCAGGCACAAGAAGTGGCATTTCTCTTTACAGATAAGATCTCAGGTCACATTTGCTGGCAAAGATCTGTGTCTTGACCATGTCACTTCTGCCTGTGGAGGCTGCCATTACTGCAAGGAGATTATCTTAGAGATGTTGGAACAGATGCTGATAGCTGAGGTTTAGAGCATCTGAGCTATACACAGCCTTTGAGAGCCAGTTTGGTGTAGTGATTAAATGTACGGACTCTAATCTGGGAGAACCAGGTTTGATTTCCCACTCCTCCACATGCATCTGCTGGCGTGACCTTTGGTCAGTCATAAGTTCTTTCAGAGCTTTAGGGCAGTTCTCAAGAGAGCTCTCTCAGCCCCACCTACCTCACAGGGTATCTGTTGTGGGGAAGGGGAGAGAAAGGGATTGTAAACTGCTCTGAGACGCTTTTGGGTAGTGAAGGGTGGGGTATAAATCCAATCTCTTCTTTGTCTTCTTCTTCTTCTTTGTTTACTCCCACATGCATCAGGAAAAGATGGAGAATTGCAACTGGGCAACTCTACCCCCCGCAGGCGTCAAACAGGGCTTTGGTTTTTGAGGGGCCAGTCTCACAGATAGGATGGGTACTGCTTTTTTGAATTCCATTTCAAATGTCTTTCAGGATATCTTGGCAAAATCTATGCATCAGAACTTTTTTTAAAAAGTAGACATACCAGGCAACAGGTGCGATACCATGTGATAGATTGTGGAGAACCTTCAGATGTGGCTGAAGATATTCCATCTTTCTCATACACCTGCTAAAAGAAAAATAAGACAACTAAAATGACTGAACTTCCACCACCCCAATGAAAGGTTATAATGAAAAATGGGGGGAAAGGATGTCTAAATTTAACACCTTACAATTCTAATTGGCAGAAAAATCCATTACAGTTCCTTATGTAACCAAAGGAAGGGACAGGAAATAGTATATCAAACGAGGTCCAAAGTCTTTTAAAAAACCCTGAACTAAGTACTGGGAGGAAAAGAATATAAGCAGTTAAAAGTCAAAACTTTGTTGTCAGGAAGGCATTGCTTTGCAAGGATGAAATTGGGTACTATCAGGAGTTTGCAGACAGCAATGAGCCTTTTAAATAAGCTGACTGAGGAACACAGAATCAAACAAAAGCAGAGCCTCCTCCTTAACATTCAAGTTTTAACTGAGTCAAACAACAACAAGATGACGGAAGTGTATAGAGAATGATAAATTAAGAAAGGGAAGCAATTTCTAAGACCAAAGTCTAGGATTTCCAACACTGACTCACATCCAATAACTACCCCCCCCCCCGGTTCCCATCTTAGCAGATGGAGATGTTCATAGTTTTTTTCCCCACCTTCATTGCATTTTAATAGGCTTTGCATCCATAAATAATCCAAGAGATTATGGAAAACAGCCTTCATAATGTTTACATAAGAAGCTTCATCCAAATTACAATTATGCATTTCACATTTTCATCATCTCAGTTGGACATCAGTTTGACCTTGAAATTTACCAAGTGAAGAGAACTACCTGAAACTAGGGGGGGGGGGATATAACCCGCTCTTTATTCTAGTGAGAGACGTGGGCTGCAGTCCTTTGCACAGTTGGATTCAATGGGATTTGAACAGCCTGAGTGACCAGGTTTGCTGCCTCATTTATTAATGCAGAATATTTTCTGAACTATCTTAAATTAGCTCACTGAAAACTTTGAACAAGGCAGAGCTACTAAAAGAGCAAGTCTGGTTATTTACGTCTAGTTTCACATTCAAAGGCAGATCCTGCTCAGCTATATTTAGCTCCTATGATTGGCACAAGATTTTTGAGTTTCCAGTTTATGTTAAGAGAGAAAGAACTCATGTTTCCAACTAATGCAAATTCATATGATACGACCAAGAATAATCATGCATAGGTACAAAAGTCTATGGAGAAAAATAGTTTAAAAGCCGCTGCACTTCATAGTTTGGATGTGCTCTGTAATTAAATCGTGCTGTATAATTAACTTTTAGTGCCCCGTCAGCTTTTAAAATATTTGTCGTATCCATCATAACAATATTAATGTTGATATGAAAGCCAGCATTTTCTAAGGCAAGTTGGTATCAGGAATGCATATTACGGTACAATTTTATCCCTCTATTGTTATAATAGAATGCTTGAGACTGGAAATACTGGGAGAAGATCTCTTCAGTTATCTGACAGCTGTGATTTATGTATTGTTATTTATTTATTTATTTATTTAGAATACTGATGTGATGCCTCTCCACAGAACCTGCTTGAAATCAAACATATTTCATCTAGAAAACTGCAGAAGCCTCAGGGCCTTTGACAGCTATTGCTTAGGGCCTTTAAAAGCCTCCATTCAGAAAATAAAAAAATTATTTGATAAAAGCAATTCCCAGAATTTCTGGACATTAAAAAGTGCTGACAATGTAAGCTTTAACGTATTTTATAGGAATGCTGCAAAAGGCAGAAGGAGCAATTGTGCGAAAAATTTGATTATTTGTACGCCATACTAGAAGAAAGAAAAAGTGAGATGACGCAAATAATCACTCGGAGTCAAGAGGAGAAATTGGAACATGTTCGGTCTCTGATTAAAAAGTATGCAGACCATTTGGAGGCCGTGTCCAAACTGGTGGAATCAGGCATCCAGTTCATGGAAGAACCAGAAATGGCTGTATTTTTACAGGTATGTTAGAGACTCCAAAAGCAAGGAGAAAATTCTGTCTTGCAAATTCTAAATCACACTTTTCATTTCTTCATTTACACACTATCAATAGCTCCTCTTGTCATTGCCTGGAAAGTAACATTTTTAGTATTCATATCACTCTACTCAGTAATGACCTATGGGGGTATCTGTGTTTATATGCCTAGGAATTTTTTGTCCATTGATTCTGTAAGGGTTTCATTCTGATACTGTATGTCACTAGCACAAGTTTAGAGCGGGTCACCCGCTAAACAACAAACTCAAATTCAGTGGTCTCCACGCTAGCAGAGTGGTTAAGGGTGAAAACAAGGATGAATACAAATGACACTTTACAAAACGGTTATTTTTCATGTTGTGCATGCAAACCAGTGTCTAGAAAATAGGAGCCTTTGTTAACTATAATGTGAGGAGAGGAACATACTGATAAAATCTCTGGATAAATGGCTTGTCCTGTATCACATTTTTGCCACTGTGACTTGTTTTCATGTGGCCAACATCTAATTTGGTTATTTCTGCATATGTTTAATCCAGATTTTAATTGAAGTCTTCATACAGTGTCTAACTTGTACTTAATTTCTTTTTTCAAACTTTTTTTTACACCCCAAACAATGGAGTTGGGGCCTAAAGCATAAGGTGAGGTCAGATGTCTGAAGCTAAAAAGGATACCTCCTTATTTCAGAAAACTCACATCTTCTACATCAGAGCATAATGAATCCCCCTTCTTTTAGAACATGACATCTTTGCGAAGAGATGCCACTATACTGCAGAGTTCCTTATGTTTGCAGTTTTGAGCTGGGAAATCCACCTACACCATTCTATTCATAGAACTCATAGACAGAGTCAGGGCTGGGTTAGCCATTACGTTAAATACTCTCAAGCCTAGGAGCCCAGGGAAATTGAGTCAGTTGATACAATTTAATTATTTTGGAGTTTTCCAGTTTGAAAAATGTTTCTGTCCTGTTCCTTTATAAAATCACAGGCAGTTTATACAAGATGACTAACTTACTCATTTCTTCACAGGCCAACAGTGGCAATATACACAGCTGTGGGGAAATAGTGAATATTAGCAGCCTGCTGTTTAACCTGAGGAACAAAATGAAGGTGCTTTCTGAATTGGGGAAAATGTTCAGGGTGTCAGGTGGCCGTTGTGAGAACATACGTGTTGTGTGGCTGTGCATGAAACTCTGCAGGAGATTTCACAAAGAGATATATCTTATGGGAGAAAATGGGTGGCCCTTTCTGGGAGGGGCTCTGCTTTCACAGTCCCAGTCAGTCTGAGATTTCAAAGAAATTAGTTTGTTAAAACAGAGTCTAGCACTCTCGGTGTAAGCATTTACTCACAGTCTATATGCCTGGGGGCTGAGGAAATTAACAGTTTAAGTATTTATTAATTCCACCGGTTTCATTTTGTTTTTCACAGAATGCCAAAGCATTGCTACAAAAGTAAGTTCTTCCCTTTCAAGACAATATGCATGTTTTCCACATTTATCATGAGCTACCAGTTTTCAAATCATTTCTTTGCAATCTCTAAGGTGAACGACACTCTGCTTCTATTTTAGAATTACTGAAGCCTCTAAAGCATTTCAGATGGAAAAAATAGAGCCTGGCTATGAAAACATGAACCATTTCACAGTGAACCTCAACAGAGAAGAAAAGATAATACGAGAAATTGATTTTTACAGAGGTATGTGCTTTCTTTTCTTTTAAAAAAATCAAATTGATTTCTTTTCATTATGGAAGTGCATACTTTGTGGGAAGACATTTTTTTTTAGGAATATGGTGAAGAGACCTTTTTGACATTCCAAAAACGTAACACGTCTCATAATCAAAAGTAAACTTGCATGAAGACCAACATAGCGTGCTTTAAATACTTTTCTTCTTTAATCGAATCTGATACCTTAGCATTCAGGATGTGCACAGCCATTTTTGAGAGTCAAACATCCTGTATACCACCAGAGTTATTAACCTGTTTGACCTGTTTGTATGACTAGACAGAAGCACAACAGCTATCAGCAACAGTGTTGCATGGGAGAACATTTCCTTGAATAAAGACACCTACATATCATGGCAAGGAAATGGGGATTGATGGTATATAGTTACCCGACCAGGAGAGCTTAATTTCCACCAGACCTACTCTATCAATAATATTAACTCCTTGGTAATAATGTATATCTATAGAAGCAAATATAATAATAAATAATAATGTGTACTTTACATGACCATTGTCAAGAAAACACGCTGATGTTTAAGATACCTTTATGCAACAAGGTATGTGGCAGCCCTTTAGAGACCTCATGGTTACCGTCACATGTGCCAGAAAAAATGGGGGGGGGGGAAGCAAGGCTATTTCCTCTGGAGGAATTTGACCCGCAGTTGCATGATCACACCTCCCCTTGAAGCTGTGGGCGCAGTCCATCAGTGCATGATCAGATGCAACTGCGGGTGAGTCGGGTTCTTTGTGTGCCATTTCCCCCCCATTCACTTAACCAAGGGATCGATGGATCGCACCACTGCACCAAGGGCTTCCTATGGAGTTTCGATGATGTGCACACTGCGAAGGGGGGGGGGAACAACAGCACAGAGTTGGGATGGACTGATCAGACCATCCCAACACCATGAGAGCACGCTGGAACGATCAGACATGGGAAACTCTGTCCGTGGCCCATCGCAACCCATTTACTACTGGATTTCCCCGGTGTCTTTTAACTCCACTTCTGCAGCAGAGCACAACAGGTTGCGGATGGCTGCGGGGTGCTTCCCAGATGTTGTTGTTTGATCACCTGGCATTCACACCTATGTCGGGTCTAATCGTGCGTATGATCGCAGCCCCTGACACCTTTGAAGGTACTGAGAACTTTTAGTTCTTTCATGAGGACTAGCATTTTGGTCCATATGTTTTTTTCCCCTTCATAGCTCCTGTTATGTCGAGATTGACAACCAAGAGCTCAGTCAGCTATTTCCACTAAATTTATGGCCCTTGCAGTGCCATTCTAAGCAGAGTTAACACCCTTGTAAGGCCATTGACGTATTCTTAGTAAACTCTGCTTAGGGTGGCATTGTTAATACTAGCTATCCTCAAAGAGCTTTAAACAGGAAGGAATTTTTGAAAGGTGTTGTCCATCTCTTTTAGATGATCCAGGAATATTGACTGCAACAATAACATTTGCAGGGTCTATTTTGAAGTGTGATTGTACAAACATGAGCAATGTATCCTAATCCACTGTCTTAATTAAGCCTCTTTTGCACTGTATATCTCTTCTCAGGTAGTTCCTTATAAATGATCATTTTGAAAAATAAACATTCAACTACGATCCATAATATTACAGTGAGCTGTAACATTTAATGTGTACAAGACATGGTTTAATCATGCACTTTGGAACATGTTTTCAGTGGAGCAAAGGGCTTGGATCCAGACTAGTATTTCCATGGGTGCAAGGATTTCCTTGAGATCCTATTCCTTGGGGACAAGTGACCACCACAAACAGAATTTCACAGAGTATTTCAGGATGCTATGGGTGGCAGAAAGCAGGAAAAGTGTGCTCTGCAGGCTGAAATCTTGCAGCTGTGGAAATGGTAGTCTGGACCAAGCCAATTACATTTAGAGTGCTATTTTAAGCAATTGTCTTCGAAGCCCATTGAAGTGCATGGCTTTTAGAAGGGTGTAACTCTGCTTAGGATGACACAGGTACATCATTCATTACATCTGTTTTCATCCTAAATTAGGGGTTTTTTTTAGTTTTTAGTGTTCTTGATTATTTGATAGAACTAAATGCCTGGATATTGAAAACTGAAACTCTTCTCTTGATGAAATATTTAATTTCAGAACAAGGACTCCCCTAACATTTCCTCCTCCAAACACTGTATACTGCTTTTCTCTTTCTTGGACTTCTCTATGGGAGAGGCTTCACAGAAAACAATGTTGTGTTGACTTTCTGACACTATCTTCCTTCAATGAGGTTATGCCCCAATTGCTCATATAAAGCAGAATGATTTTAGAATTAACATTCTGTTTACAAAGAATGAACAAATTTTATTTTAATGAAAATCGAGCATTGTTCATCTCTGTGTTCCATTAGAGGAAGAAGAAGACGAGGAAGAGGATGTGGTTGAAGGTGAAGAATCTGATGAAGTCCACACAGAATCATCTGGTGAGGAGGATGAAGTATCTGAACTGCCATCTCAGCAGCCCCAACAGGATACTCCACCAAAGGACCCACCAGCTGTACCTCAGACTAACTCAGCTCCATCACTACCACCTCCAGCACCCATTGCTGCCACCACTGTGCCTAATCAAGTAATTATTTGGCATCCTGTCAGCTGTATTAAATGCTTTCCCTGTATCCTAGTCAGCTATTGATCAAAATGTGAAGAAGGCTTAGTGCTTTTTTAATTCACAGATTAAACTGAAATTGCAATAAACATACTGAGATGTGACAGTGGACAAGTCTCCCCCCTTTCCCTCAGCCAGATTCTGATAGCAGACAAGATCTCATCTGGGCAGGAAAAAAAACAGCACCTGAGGGAGAGGTTCTGGCCGCAGAATCAGCTGGTAGGGGGACATCCCCATCAATATACCTCTTTTGAGCTTTAAATTGCCCCAACTTTGCATATGATTGAGGAAAACCTTTATTTAAAGTCATACGTCTCCCACCACTGCATGCAGTTTGGCATTAAAACACACACAATCACATATGGTATATGCTGTTGTGTGCCCATTTTAAGAAAAATGAGGGGGCAGAATGAAATCAGGTAGTGGGGATTTATAGCAGCAAGTTTTATAGCATTTATAGCAGCAAGTTCCAGTCATTATCTATGTGCATTCATTGGAATGTATGTCATGTCTGTGCAATCAGTCCAGTGGTACAGGTAGGTAATTTTAGACTCTGCACTTAATGATATGGGAGGCTGGGGGCTTTAGATGGTAATGTATTCTTCAAATGCAAAGCTACATTCTCAGGGGTCATTTCGTAGAAAAAGAGGTGCAGGAGCTCATTAGCATAACTCATTTGCATATGCCGCACCCCCTGACATCACCGGAAGTGTGTCAGAAGGCAACACCCACTGCTCAGGCTCCACTGGACTCTTTTGGATTGCTAGCTATTGGGGGGGGGGAACGACATGCAGGTCTGCCCTCGCAGAGGAGGGAGAGCTTGTGCCTGAATAAAACTTGGTCTTAAAGGTGCCACCGGACTGTTTTGGACCAGGGGGGCGGGGGGAGCTCTGCAACTTACCTGGCTGCTTCTTGCTCTGACTGAAGGCTGCTGGGAGCAGGGGGTGGGGCTTGTTGCATATGCCCGCCCCCTGGGCTCTTTATTGCCGGAGCTCCGTTCCTGTGCGCTCCTGCAGGAAATGACCCCTGGACATTCTGATGCAGCTAAGAACCTTGAACAAACAATGTATAGATATGGAGAAATAATAACATATTTCTCTCCCCCCCGTGATCATTTATTATGATCCTTCAAAGTATTCTTCAGTTGCTGCCAGCAAGCCAAGCCAAGCCAAGCCAATATGGCAAATCCAAAGACAATGTCAGTGCTCTTATTTTAGAGAAACCTTTGAACAGATATGCAGAAAGGCTCCTTTTTGTGTGAGAGAATGTCTCTCCAAGCATTGTTGTTTTTCATTTTTTTTAATATGTTCAATTAAGGGTGAAGTTGTGCTGACTACTACTCAACAGCCTGCAGAACCAGAAGCTGATATGCAATCGAGTGGAGACCCAACCGATCCTTTGTTTTATCCTAGCTGGTATAAGGTTCAGCCACGGCAAACAAGCAATTCAAATACAGTCCCAGTGAATGAAACAAGCAATGCAAATACAGTCCCAGTGGCCGAAAACAGGCAGGTAGGGCCTTCTGTTCCTGTAGAGGTGAATGTAAAGAAGACAGAGACAGCTCCGGCAAAAGGGAGTCCTGCTGTGAGTGGTAAGGAAGCTAATACACCCACAGCTACTTCGCAGGTTAGTATATAGTTTCAGGGTATATTGTATTCGGTCATGGCTCTACATGAAAGGTGGTAATTACAAAACAGAATATATAATTACATTAATATCTCTGACACGCCACTATAAAGGGGAACGTCAATGAAATTTCAGAAAGTAATCATTTTTATTTTTAAAAAATTAAAGCCACATTCTCAAATATAGATACATACAATATTGTAAACTAGTTGCTGTTGCTGAGTTTTTGTTGCTGAGTTTGATAGTATTTCGTAGCACTGGTATCATTGATGACAATGAGCCGATATTTTGTGTTTGTACTGATTTTACAATTTACCTTAGTTGCTTTGGAATGATTCCATGTTATCATGTACATCAGCATCACACCCAAGTCACACCTTCAGAAGTCATTTCAAAGGTCTTCTGAATCCATATCTGGCAATCACAATGAAACTACAGTACATATAAGTGCTCCAAAGTGAAAATGGCAAAATAGTTAAGACCTCTTACATTATGACGTACAGCCGAAATTCAAAGTTCATGGTCTGTGTGCACAAAGAGTTTTTGATTTCTCAAACAGCAGTCTCCCCCATGTTCCAATATGCTGTTCAGAAAACCACATTTGAAATGCAGAAGAAAAGGCAGTTTGTGGTGTAGCGTAAGTTACTTTTAAAACAAAAAATGTCAAAAATCAAAAGTTCTTGAACATACCTGAAGTAATTCTTTGGATCCTGATTCATGCCAATAAAACCTTGGAAACTATCCTGAGTTGCTCATATGCAAGGTCAGTTATAACATGTCTCATTTATTTAATATTAAGCATGCGGGTACTGGAATAGCAAAATACAATTCTGTGAATCTTTGAATAAGGTAAAGGTTCCCTTGCTCGAAAGCCAGTCAAATCCGACTCTAGGGTTGCAGTGCTCATCTCCGTTTCAAAGCCGAAGAGCCAGTGCTGTCCGAAGACGTTTCCGTGGTCATGTGGCCAGCATGACTAAACACCAAGGTGCACGGAGCGCTGTTACCAGGGATCATTTTGTAGAAAAAGAGCTAGGGGAACTCATTAGCATAACTCATTAGCATATGCCACACCCCCTGACATCACCGGAAGTGTGTCATAAGGCCACACCCCCTGACATCACCGGAAATGTGTCATAAGGCCACACACCCCGCCCCCAACGGTCCCGGCCGCCACCGCCGGCCTTGCAGCTCTACTGCCGAGCCCCATGAGGGGCCCGGCGGTGGACCTGCAAGGCCGGCGGGAGTGCAAGGAAGCCCTGCGAAAGCCCTCCCTGGCCCCAGGCAGGCAGGGGTGGGGAGAGGCAGGGAGGAAGCAACTTACCCTCCCTCTTCTCCTGCCTCTTCCTGGCTGAATGAGGGCCAGAAGCGGGGCGGCCGGAAGCAGGGGGCGGGGCTTCGTCATGTGTCCCACCCCCCTCTACCTCACCCGGGGGAACTGCGTTCCCCCGCGTTCCCCCCCGAAATGACCTCTGGCTGTTACCTTCCCACTGAAGTGGTACCTATTTATCTACTTACAATTTCTTGCTTTCGAACTGCTAGGTTGGCAGGAGCTGGAACTAGAATGCCTATCTGTAATTTAGCCAAGACCATGGGTTGGGTCCAGCTAGCTTTTTCACTCACTGCCCTCCTTTCTGAAGCCCTCATCCCACATAGCTTTTGTCCATACAGGTCAAATGATACCCAACATAACTTTTGGTGATCAGAGGACCTCCCTCCTTTTTTCACTAGCAGAAAAACTGGTTGGATCCAACCCCATGTATTTGTGCAAGTTCTGTACATGCAGCTTTCACTCTGGTCATATGAATCTAAAAGTGTCCTATTCTGTGTGTACACAGAACCACATAGGATTCTTTTCTTTTATTTCTGACAGCATTTCAAGAAAAGCATGGCATGTTTTCAATTAATTTTGCATTGCAAATAACATACCTAGCATTTCCCCCCAGTGGTGTTTGTTCTGAGGTCAGAAAATAGGTCAACTCAATTCAGTCAGTATAATATGACCTCAGATCTGTGTTACAGTACCACTGTCTCAAAGTCAATAAGACTGCAAAGATGGAGACTGACTTAATAATGTTTTTAAGAGCAATGATATCTTGAAATAATTCAAATCAGTGAAAGTTACATTGCATCATGAGGACTGCATCCAGTATCATATTTTAAAAGTTCCCCCTTTTAAATTTGCTTATGAAATATATCAAGTTTTTAACAAATTAATTTTTAAACTACCCATGGCCACATGCAAACACTTTATCTAATAAACATAATCTCACCTTTGCATGCCTGAAGTTTTTGAGTCTTACACTTTTAAAAGGTTCACTAATTTATGGTATCTAAATTATTCAAGTATTTTTTTTCTTCATCTGTGTTACATCATTAGCCATCCTAAATGCCTTATGTAAAAATACATTGTACTGATTTCTGTGGAATTTTTACATGCATGCACTAAGGATTAATGTTTTAAAATAATTGTTTTGGAAGACGCTTGCATAGATCAATGCTCAGGAATAAAAGCAGCAATAAAGTGTCCATAGTTTGAGATTAATGAAGCACCGTGAGAGAGAAGGAATGTCTAAAATGAAAATAAAGCTATCTGGAAGAAAGAAAAGGTGGTTGAAATGTTGCATTGGGAGGACAGGTGTCATATTAGTAGCAGAGGGCTTATTTACACCACTTAAACTACTGTAATAGTTATTTCTTCTCAGAGAGTACTGGAAACTTTGATTCTGTGTAGACTCAGTACCCTCACAAAACTACAATTCTTAACATTCTTTGTGGGAAACACTAAGTGGTATAAAATAATAAATTCTGGTAGATAGGTTCAGTGTGGAGCAGCAAAGGGAATGCATTAGGTTTCTGTGTGCAGGAAGGCTTCTAGTAAATGGATTACTGGGTTTTTGCATGCATTTCTCACCAGGACTAATCTGAGGGGGAAATCCGGTTTATATGTGTTTCACATCTGGGTGTTTTCATTGCAACTATCCAAAAATGGTTCAGAAAAGATAATTGGAGGGTTTTTTCCTCTAAAACGAAATGTTTTCTTCACCGATCTTAGTGAAGTATTCTTTTTGTTATTTCCTCACAGGGGTTAGCATTCTGCATATCAGTTTTGGCTTTTCTTATCATTCTGCACCATCTCTGGAGTCAGATTCAATACATGATTTTTACTTTAATGGGTAGGAACTGCTTTGTTTTATCCTTAACTAACAGCACAAATCATTCCTCTGGTGATGCTTGCAGGGAGTTGAGAAACAAGTATCTCATCTGTCTCATCTCAAAGGACCATGCTGTCATGTAATACATGCTGCCTAAGGCTGTTCTTCCTTATCTCCCCCTCCTTGTGAAATGCCATCCTGGAGTGAAGTCCTGCATGGTTAAACATTAGACTTTGTCTTAAAAGGAGGAAAGGTGGGAAATCCCACATGAATCCCATGGACTTATATTAAGTATCTCTGAAATATAGATGCAAGAAGGAGCAGTTGCAAAGCCATTGATAAGCTTGACTGCTCATCCCAAAGATGTGTACGTTGTACTGAAAGTAAAAGGCTGGTATGTATGAGTGTGTATATGTGTGTGCACGTGTGCTCAACCACAAGAAAATCTAGGCATTCACAGGGGTCTTGTTGTAGAAAAAGAGCTGCCGGAGCTCATTAGCATAACTCATTAGCATAACTTATTTGCATATGCCACACCCCCTGACATCACCGGAAGTGACAGAAGGCCACACCCCCTGACATCACCGGAAGTGTGTCAGAAGGCCCGGCTTCTTACCCTCCTGCTTCATCCTCATTCCCAAACGGAATGAGGATCGAAGCAGAGGGCGGGGTAAAGAAGGGGGCGGGGCTTCACCACGTGACCGCCCCGCCCCCTAGAGGTTCTCTTCCGGAGCTCCGTACCTGAGAGCTCCCCCCCGACTAGAGCCCTGGGCATTCATGAGACGCATGGGTACATCTCCTTTGGGATATACCTCCACTTCAGAATACTGATGTCAAGAACTCTGTGTCCATGGAAAGCTTGGGTTCTAGCCTAGCCTTCTCCTTGGCATGTTGGTTTTCTATATTACATGTGCGGGAGCATGCAGACATACATTCTGCAGTCTCATGGGCCACCTGACCCTGCTTAGCTTCTGAGATCTGATGACGCTGGGCTCACATAGGCCACCCAGGTCAGGGTCTTTGTCCAGCTAGCCTTTATCAATTCTCCAAGACTTCATAGTGGAGGCAGGGCAGGACGCTAAAGCTGGCATCAGTTATACCATCCTTTGAGGAGAGGGTCTTTGGGTCACATTAGAATAACCAACTTTAAATAAGCCTCTAGACAAATAAGTCCACATTACAGCTAAATGACAACATCCTCAGTTTTTGCTGTAAATGCTTTTGTTGCATTTCTGATTAATGCCCATTTTCCCTATATATTTGAAAGGAAGAGAAATAAAATCAAGTTGTAGGTAGGCCCAGTGGATCTCTGTGGTAGTCTTGCTTCTCAGTTTAGCAATTCTACTGCCACCTCCCTCAGCTTCTAAGAATCAGTAGTTTTTAAAGGGGAAGGGGAGGCTACCTTCTTTGCTGAAGGTTCAAGTTGTTCACCATATATATATTAATTCTGTGTAACTTACTTGATGCCTACGTGCCTACTGGGGGGGGGGGGGATTAGGCTCCAAATAGTTTACAGTTTGTTTTTTAAACAAGATTTTACATATCCCCTCTCAGAGCTTCTGTGTTGTATGGCAATTGGAATCCGCTCCTTCTGATGTTACAGGTCCCTTCGTCAATCACCACAGACTGTGGAGGGGTCTCTGATTATTGTATTCTGTAGGTCTTTTGCCAAAATGTAACTTTTGATGCATCTGAAACTTTGAGTATCCATCTACTTTTGTGACTGGTAGGTATCCTAATTAATCAGTTGAGCCTAAACGGCCATTTCAATGTCTTATTTCTCCTGAGGACTCATATTCAAACCAGATAGTTGACTGCCTTAAAGGTGTACTTAAGAGACTTATTAGAATGAATGACAAAAACTGAGGACTATCTCATTACATATCCCTTAGGTCACTCACAATATCTGAGGGGTCGTTTCATTTGTCTGGTAAAAGACCAGTGGGAGCCTATGGGGCTTAACTGATAGAGATAGATTAGTGTAGCTGTGTGTGAAGCTACAATGCCATGTGCAGTCAAAGGGATGTTTATTAGGTGCCTGCGTACTCAGCTTTTCCCATAGTTTATACTTAGGAGAGGAACAGTAGAGGACATGGACAGTATCTCTACAAGTGAATCCCCTTATTCTAACTTGCCTTTTAAAACTAGAAGGTATATTAAGTACACGTATGATTTGTAAACAAAAAGTAGGTATTCATTAAAATGCAATGGTATCTATCTATATAGGTTGCTTGTATGACCTACAAAAGCATCAAAACCAAGCCATCCATACAAAAAGTAGGGCTTTCTATCTATTCTGTTGATTCTTCAAGTAAAAACACACCCAAACTACTTGCATATTGCACAGGTTTCAGAAAGCAAGGAATGGTGCAAGGGAAAAGAAAGAGATGGAAATAAGCCTATTGACCTGATCAAGCCCTGGAGAATTTATGGTTTATGGAATCCTAGAGGGGGACCACTTATCCTCTCCACAGTTCCTTGGAGGTCCTCAGCTTCTTCAGTCCAGGCACTGACCAAACCCTCTCCACACAGTTGCTGTAGCTTGTGTTATCCAAACATACACTGGGATTATATGTTTTCATAGCTTCTCCTTAACTATCCACTTTGCTGTGATTCCAGTCCTATCAGACAAAGCAGCTGAACTGCATCTGTTACTCTTGTTTTTCATATATAGGTTCACAATTTTCCCCATAATATCTCACTGGAACTATGTTCCCTCTGCTGGAATTTCCAAAGGGTCATTTTTCTCCCTCAATAGTACCCACAATTTCTACATGACTGCCACAATTGCCAAGTAGAGATAGGATTAGGGACTTAAATTTAAAATGTGTCTACCCAAGAGGTAAAATACATCAAATGTCAAGGAAGTCTACATTACATTTGATCTCAGACAACCACTAAGTTATGTAAAAGTACTTTAAATGCACAATAGCTAATGAGATCATTAAAGAGGTGGGACTGAAACATCAGACTACATTTGCATCACAAGTGATAAACTGTGATTATATTATTAAAGTTGGTGTTCTAAATTTCAGTTCTGGGATCATTTAAAGGTTTCTTCCCCGCTGTGCTTTACTGAAGATTTCAAGATTCAGATATGAAAGGGAGTTTCTAGGCTTCCAGCTTTCAGTCTAACAAGAAAATTAAGTGTTTGCTTTATTTTTTGCACATGAATACTCTGTGAGTCAGAAGGGTTTGCTCACAGAGTTAGAAATGTACTTAAGTCATGGCAAGATTGTATGATGATAAATGATCCCCTGCAGAATTGTATAGTGGGGAGCCAGAATGGTGGAGAGGTCAGAGTATCAGGCTAGAATCTGATTCAAGATTTCCATCCTGCTATAAATCATGCTGGGTGACCATGGGACACAGGCATTTTCTCATTCTAACAAAGTAAGTGATTAGAAAAGAAGAGATTGGATTTATACCCCACCCTTCACTACCCAAAGGTGTCTCAGAGCGGCTTACAAACTCCTTTCCCTTCCCCTCCCCACAACAGACACCCTGTGAGGGAGGTGGGGCTGAGAGAGCTCTGACAGAAACTGCTCTTTTTCAAGGACAGCTCTTATCAGAACTATGGCTTGCCCAAGATCATCCAGTCAGGTGCAAGTGGAAGAGTGGGGAATCAAACCCGGTTCTCCCAGATTAGAGTCCGTGCACTTAACTACTAAAAAAAATACAACTATTTATTATGGTGTACACATTAGTAAAAGATAAAATAGGTTAAAAGAAATGATCCAAATATCAGACTCTTAGAACTTGAGCTGTTACTTTTACATATACAATTGATGGGTATATCTTATGACCAGTAGACCATACACGTTTTGGCCCCTTAGGGCCTTCCTCAGTGGTCAATATTATTATAGTCAAACAGCACACATCCAGAAATACTACCTTTGATGGAAGAGACGTACATCCAGACACTTTGGATATTTGTCACCAGAACAATTTGGAGAACATGTACAGTTAGCATGAGAGATTATCCACGGCCTACTGTGTAAACTTTTAGCAATTGCACATCAGATGAGAAAGCAACACATGGCTCTAAAGAAAATCTTTTTTCATATATTTATTTCTGGGTGTGTGTTGTTTTACAATAGTAATATTGACCACTGAGGAAGGCCGTAAGGGGCCAAAACACGTACAACAAACATACAAAAAAAACCCTGTTGTATTCTGTACTATTTGACCTCTGAAGAAGGCTCTTGTGGGCCGAAATGTATCAGGTCATATATGGTTCCTTTTGTGCATTTGTCACTTTGATTATTTTATGAGGCTTTGTTTGGGCCCCTACAAGGTCATTGATGTTTTTAACTTTTGGCCCTTTACTAGTTTTCTTAACTTCCTTTGGAGGTTTTTGCTTGTTTGGTTTTGTTTTTCTTTCCCTCTCTTCGTGGTCACACCAGAAATTACATAACAGCTTTTCTGCAGTGCCTATTACCCCCCCCCCATTTCCCCTCAGCACTCTGCTGAGCATCTACAAGCTACTAGAGCTGCAGGGCAAGAAGTCTCCCACTAGAGTAGGAGACCTGGTCACCCTAGCTGGTGGGTAGGATACTAATCCAGCATTAGCCAACTGTAGTCCCAAGCATTAGTAGACTGGAGAACCAGCTTGATGGTAAGAGTGGTGGATTCTAATCTGGAGAACCAGGTTTGATTCCCTACTCCTCCACATGAAGCCAGCTGGGTAACCTTGGGTCAGTCACAGTTCTCTCAGAACTCTCTCAGCCCCACCTACCAATTGTAAGCCACTCTGAGACTCCTTCAGGTAGTGAAGAGTGGGGTATAAAAACCAACTCTTCTTCTTCTTATGTCCTGAACAACAGTGAATTCAGAATGAATTCAATGCTTACAGCACACAGGAGACCTATTTGGCTGGTGTCTCATTCTTTATCTTGAGATAAGATTTCTAGCAACAAATGTGAGGGTTCTGCATATTGGCCTTTCCCAGCCCCCTTCTTCTCCCGTCATGGTCACCATTTTGGAAGTGACTATTGTAAACCCATAACTAAGCTCATATTTAAAATTCAAAGGCCTGCCCCTGACTACTTCTTTTTTAATTTAGCTCCTAATCTCTGGAAGTTGCTTATGTGATTCAGTGGCACCAGCGAGGAGTTTTTGTAATGAGAAAACATTTTTGTCAGGTTCCCAAGTGATGGTGTTAGTGTCATTAGTCCAAGCTATCCTTCCTTCCCAGGCATGTAATAGTCACACCTACAGTCTATATATGATGAGTCACAAAGTATCTTCTGGTTTGTAAGGTCAGTCTTGTCTTAGCATCCTTACCTCAGATAAATGGCAGATACAGTGATTTCCTTTATTCAAATGAAGGATGACTTTGCCTGTATATCTTGCTTCATTGAAAACTGAAGGTCCCTTGAATTCTGATCTCTGTTAAATAGCCTTGTTAAGATTGTTGGTGATCCTCTGAGTTACTGAAAAAAGTGTTTGGTTTTTAATTTGAAAGAGAGACTATTTCATTCTTTCAAAACAACATCTTCCCTTGGACATTTTACTTGTGGGACCCAGTAGCTTACATCTCTTTTCATACAGAGTTTTCAGGTAATAACAGTATTTACTTCCCATTTGTTATATATGCATCCTGCCCCACAAGCCAGTGCTTTTTTTCTGGGCAACTGCACTTTCAAGCACTTTAAGTTACAATGTTTTGTACCTGGGTGAAATGGGATGCTTCTCTCAGTGCATTCATTGTAAGCAGCATTGTAGTGACAGATGTGGATGCAGCTTGTTGCAAAATCTGAGGCAAGAAATACTTGTGCAATGACTAATAAGTGCTTATGGCACCATTACATTATCTAGGGAGAGTTCCTGTTTTACAGCCCATTCTCTATAGGAGCAGAGCTAATCTGCATAGTGAAATACAAGGTCATTCTCATTATTCATGGATGAATTCAAACTGCTTTTCTTACTACCTTAAGGCTGCTCTCAACTATTCAAGGGTCCACTGATAACTTTTCTTTTGAGGATGTAGGAGTCTTAAATAGAACAAGCCCACTGGGTTGGATCCTGCCATTCTGTCCCACTGGCACACTCCTTTGATGCAAAGTTGTCCCACTGACAAGGAGGGCTCTTGTACTGGTAGAACATTTTTTGTGGTAGAGGAATGTGTTGGCACCAATGGAATAGACTAGTGGGATCTAACCTATTGCTTGTGCTGGCAGTGTCTAAGGGGAAGACATTTGAATTCTCTTATAAAACAACCATCAACGAAGACAGTGTATTTATGTAGGTTTTTATTAAATCTATCATTGCTTTGCTTCCTCTTCATTAAGTGTGAGAACCAGTGTGGTGTAGTGGTTAAGAGTGGCAGACTCTAAACTGGAGAACCAGGTTTCATTTCCCCACTCCTCTGCGTGAAGCCTGCTGGGTGACCTTGGGCCAGTCACAGTTCTCTCAGAACTCTCTCAGCCCCACCTACCTCACAAGCTGACTGTTGTGGGGAGAAGAAGGGAAGGAGACTGAAAGCCATTTTGAGACTCAGGTAGAGAAAAGCAGGGTATAAAAACCAACTCTTTGTCTTCTTCATTATTCAGTCTTTCATTGTGGGCCAGAAAGCTGAGCTATTGGGGTGGTGGTGTTGTTTTTTGGTATTTCGTACCTGTCAGCATTTAGTCTGAAGGTCACAGTATGTATAACTCATACCCTTCAGACCCAATAACCAAGATTTTTAAAGAAATACTCCGAGAGAGAGCAGGGAATCTGAGTAAACAGCGATGTTGACATCGTACTGTGGACACTTTCCAACTAGTGAGTAACTTCGAGGAATTAGAATGTGCTGGTGGAGTTGATGTCTCAGCAAGATGCTCTATTTATGGAGCTCTTACAGATCTGATCTGGCTTCCATAGCATGTGCACTGGGTGTCTACAGGTCTTATGCGCCAGTCCTAGCATATTTGCAATAGCTCAGCTAAGTCATTCATTCATGATCAAGTGTTCAGTGCATCTAAACCCCACAAATTATGCAGGCTTTGTTACCTGATCCAATGAAACTATGGAGCAAACTCTGGCCTGAGTCATAATTTTAAATGGTAATGGGCCCTCATTCATCAGGTCCTTTCAAAGAATAATCTATACTTTAAAGTGCTGTCTGCTTCCTAAGTGGCATACAAAGACAGTGCTCTGCGTCACTGCTGGAATCTCTGCCCTTCTCTCCAGAAGGAGAGGAAGTTTCTCCTGACAGCTCTTTGAGGTCTACTTCTTGAAATGCATAGGGTGCGAGATTACTTGATGTTTCCTCACTATTTTTGTAGGTATTAAACAAATGGGAGTGAGTCAGTATGCAGTTCACTTTGCCACATTAATACCCACTGTATTTTCCAATGCCTTTGTAATGGTAATACCTGGTGCATTTGTGCAAAGCAACTAACAAAAAATTAGCCATGGATAATTTATTAAGAAATTGTTTGATCACAGTCCTTAAAGGAAAGGCAATTTGATGTGGTTGACTTGAACACAGGATGTTCCAGTAGCTTAAGGGGCAAACTAGACATGATGGAGGGGTTGCCGCATTACACATTCCCATGTGTGTTCTTCCATTCATGAGTCAAGCAGGGGGTGGAAGACTATTTTTATAGTGAAAGTGGAACTTGTTGGTGAGGGAAGCTGAACTCTGTCCCCTACCCTGTTTTACCTCTTCGGTGCTTTAACATTTTTTTTTCTCCATCCTCCTCCAGTATCAGAAATAAACTGGGCAGGAAAAACAAAACACTTATAGCAGCAGCATGCATCAAGAGAGGGGGGGGGGAAGGACAGAGTTTTAAACCCACCCATGCTTCATATGTGAGTAGGAGGAGATGTGATTAAATACACATGATCCCCTAACGCATCCCTAGAGGACCTCTTTACACCTTACATAGTCCTTGTGTTTGTTGGGTAAGCCTTTTTCTCCTTATGACTGGAGCTCACAAGCAGAAACAGCAACTGCTTTTCTGCCACACTTTTCTTTCCTCTTTAAAGCATCCCATGGAGCTGTTATTAATGCCACTGCAATATGCATGTGCAGCCACTTAAGTAACATGAGTCTGCCAACAGAGCCAATAGCGGATCCACAGGGCCCCTAGTTTGATCCTTAACCTCCTGCTAAAGAAATTCATACTAGCATAGCCTGGAGTGAAAGAAAGCTGAAGGTGATATTGTAGCAGTGCCTTTACCTGAAATATAGAGACTAATAATTCCTTATTTTTGAAAATGTCACTCTGTTTTGTTCTTTTGCCTCTGCTCCCTTTGGTCAAAGAAGTTTTACAGTTTTTTAAAGTGCTACACAAATATTTCTAAACCTATTTGAATGTAGACACCATGGGGCAATAATGACTCTATCAGACCATCTTCCACGAGCTGAAAACTCTATCATCCTTTTGAAGCACAAGATACATTTTAAACCAGAGCAGCTGGGGGAACACAGAGGGCTTCTCCCTCCAAAGTCAAGGGTAATCATTAGTACTCAACCCTGCCCTTAAACATCTCAGCATAATACATCCATTGTTTAATCTTCAGCATGAGGCTACTTCTCATGTGTCAGGGAGACATTTAGAGTGAGCAACCAACTGAAGCAGTTTTCCTAAGAAAAGAGCCATCAGTTTTCTTTGGTCAGCCCTATCATGTAGCACTGTACTTATTCTTAAAGAGAATGTGTTTCATAAGTGCATTTGTTTGTCAAGAAACTTGGCTTGGACCAATCTCGTTTTAAGACTTGTTTTTAGCATCACTTTAAAGCAGTCGACAGCAAGGAACCGGAGTTGTTTGTTACAAAGCAGGCTCACCCTCTTTTTCTTTAAGATTCAGGGGTGGATCTCAAGGATCCTTTTCCACTGCCAGTGGTGCTTTCCTCCAGTGCATGGAGCCTTCCCTAATGCAAGGAGATTGTCAGCCTGTGGAAGAGCATCCTCTCTCAGGGAAGGCTCCTGGCACAAGAGGAAAGCAGTGCCACTAATAGAATGAATCTGTGGGATTCAACCCAGTGTTCTGAGTACGCAGAGCTCTGAAAGCCCTGGCCTGGGTAGCCCAGGCTAGGCTGATCCCATCAGATCTCGAAAGCTAAGCAGGGTCAGCCTTGGCTAGTATTTGGAAGGGCAACCTCCAAGGAATACCAGGGTCGTGACACAGAGGCAGGCAATAGCAAACCACCTCTGAAATGTCTCTTGCCTTAAAAACTAGTGGTGCATAATGCTAAAGAACTAGAACTTGTGGCTGCCAGACAAACTTAGGATCTCCTGACTATTCTACACACAATGTCATACAATATTTATTTAATTCATTAATTAATTAGAGCTTTGAGATACTGTTTAGATTAGGTTAACATTTAGACCATTACAAAGTTATTTTAAAAAACTCTACTCAGTGTCCATTTAAAAGGTTCTATGGTTCTGATTTTGCTCTGTATTTCAGACTTCTTGGGACACATTTCTGATGCTAAGGATCACCACCTCTTTGCATACTTTTGGTTAACAATGGGGCAATGAAAAGCTGAAGGCAGACTGATTGAACAAACGAGCACCCGGTTTGCTGTCTAACATTATAACCAGTCTATTACCAAGATTTTCTGATGGAAGTTTCCAGGGATCCCCAAACCTGCAAGAGGCCACAGTGAAATGGGAATCAAGTTTGGTTCCCCATGTGTCTTTTTCCTTTGCTGCATCCAGATCAAAGCCCAACTGCTAGGCATGTTTCAAAGCTCAGAGTGGTGAAAGAGAATTTGACAATTACCTAACAGCCATCAGATATTGGTGCCCTATCAAAAAGTAGATGAGGAATGCACCAGGCAATTGCCAAATATCGTCAAGTGCCCTTTCACCACTTTCTCTCCAACTTGCAAAGCACTGGGCAAATAGCTTCAATGTGGCACATCATTTCAACATATGACTTACTCAGGAGGTCCATCTTAAGCCCCTTTCTGATACTGCCCTCCCCCATTTCAATAGATGCCAAGATTGCTATGGAAGACATGAATGTCACTCAAATTCTACCAGTCTAAGTGTCTTGCACAATGTCATAAGATCACTGGTGGAAATGTTACATACTTGCTTTTATTGATACCATTGCATAGAGCCACTAGAACCAGATTTGGAATGCCATGAAATGAAGTGTGTTGACCTAAGCCCAAAGGAACTCTCATATTATATCGAAAAGGTCTTATTTAAGGGTCCCCTTCACCCAGAAAGGCTTCCCCATTCGTTTAACATTCCTCCAGTATGCTTGACATTATATCCTTGAGGGAACTTAGCCAGCCAACACACAAATAGGAACACTGAATTCATTTGCTGAGGACTATTTTTGGAATCATTAAGGTTGTGAAACAAACAGCCTTGCATTATTCTTTTGCCATAGTGCTCTAATTGTAATAGAATGGAAATCTATTTTGGTGAGACATTCAGTCCCCATGGGCACTAGAAGTTCACTGCCGACCACCTTGCTGGGAATTGAACAGCTAATCTTATGATGGATGGCATTTGCTGGTGCATATTTTACCTTGCCTACCATTAAGTAGCTGAACAACTTATTTCATTATAGAAAAGAATTTCAGTTAGTTCCCAGAGAATTAAAAATAGACACAAGCATAGCATTCTTTGAGCTTGTAGCTGTAATGTTATGATAAAAGTTGACAGCTGCAGGGATTTCTGCTAAAGGCATAATATTCTATGCAAGGTAAATAGAAACTCTTTATAGAAAATTGAAATCACTGTAAAATAACTTCAATTTCCTCTACATATTTTGTGACAACTAATTAGTACCCAACTATTGAAAACACCTACAATCACCCTAGGCATTAAGTAATAAATTAGTGCCAGGTAAAGCATTTCATAATAGAGCAAACATAGATTTAATGCATAAGGTTTGAATGCAAAATAGAACATCTTAGATCTGTAATCTTTCAAATTCCAAAACCCATACTTCTCAGTCTCAATTTATCAAGGATGCTGGCAGCCAAACTTGGTGGAACTCAAACTTTTATGGCAAAAAAATTGATTTTTTTTTCTTTTTCCCATAGATTGAGTTTGACACTACCACTTTTGGAAAATCTGGCATTGACTGTTAATAAGGGAAAGTCAATGTTTAGAAGTTTGCCAAAATATTATTTTCTCAGTGTATTAAAATTAGACTTGTACAAACATAAAAAAGAGTTAGAACTCATTGACCCACATTTATTTATTTGCGTTATTTATACCCTCCTTTCTTACAGAGCCTCAATGCAAATTACTGCAATCAATAGGAGAAAAACATCTAATAAGCAATGTAATATGCTCAGGATTGCAGACATTAGAAAGAGCTATTGTCTGAGCATAAGTGTCAAATAGCACATATTAAACAATGCAGAACATGGTATTACAGAAATAGAATCACAATGCATTTTGCTAGACCAATCTGTTATAATATAGCCCTTTTTTCTGTATAAAACTGCCCTCCTGAACAACATGTACATTACCATATGTATTTGCAAAAAAAATAAAAAAATGCTTGTTCACATTCTACAATAGTATATTGTCTTCCCTTATATTGGTGCAATCCCAATAAAAATCAAAGGATATGTAACATGTAACTGTTATGCCACACATGAAAATGCAGTTTCCCTTATACAAGAGCTAACGTATACACTCAGTAAAAATCACATGGTTGAATGTAGCCCCTCAGAATGCATTTTTGAAAGTACACCACCATTTACAAAAATTCCCTGTGCTTGTGTGAGTAGTGTGTACAGAATAGACATGTACTTCTGCAGTGTGTTCACTGAGTACAGGGGAAGTTATCAAACTCTGTATAGAAGAAAGATTTTTTTTTACTTAGTTAAATACAGATAAAATTGAAAGTATAGAAACGGGGAACAGGACTAATGACCTAGGAGATAGCAGGTTTCAGCATGATTTTTTTTAAGTGTCAGCCTTTCAGGGGTTTTTTTAAAAAAATGAATTGCAACAGGAGACAAATATAACACTTTAAAAGCACATTTTCTGGATTTTACTTAAACTTTGCTGAGTGACAGTACAATCCTAAACAGATTTACAAACTTCTAAATCCAATTAAATCAATGTCCCGAGAATGGTGTAACTCTGTTTAGTATTGCACTGGGAAAGAGAAGGCTTAGAGGGGACATGATTGCAATCTTCAAGTATTTGAAGAGCTGTCATGTAGAAGATGGAGCAGATCTATTCTCTCTTGCTCCGGATTGCAAGACTAGATCTAATGGGTGGAAATTACAAAGGAGTTGTTACCGGCTAAATATCAGGAGAAACTTCCTAACAGTAAGAGTGGTTGAGCAGTGGAACAGTCTGCCTCAAGAGGTGGTGGGTGCTCCTTCACTGGATGTTTTCAAGTGGAGGCTGGATGACCATCTTTCGGGTATGTTGTAGGTATGTAGGGCTATTTTTCAGTATACTCCTGCAGAGTGCAGGGGGTTGGACTAGATGACCTGCAAGGTCCCTTCCAACTCTAACATTCTATGATTCTGTGATTCTATGATTCTATGATTCTATGTTTATGTCTCATTATACTCAGTGCTAAAGACCATATTGCAGAGGAGATATATTACTGGATCTCCTAATGAATTTATTTTCAACTAAAAGCAGTCATATGAAACCTCAGTGGGATTAGTACAGCAGCATTGGAAGAGAGATGTAGCCACTACTACAAGAAAACAAAAATCTGGCTGCTTATTAAGGCCACAGAAGGTTGGGGTACTTGAATATTTCTGTTCTTGCTATGTGCTATCTAAAAATTTCTGTGGAGTCTACAGATAGATTGGCCAGTTTGTGATCCTCTTTGCTGCTGTCTCCCAAACTACATAGCAGCTACGTTGTGAGGCACCTGGCATTCCCTGGCGATCTCTCCTGACTGCACAGTTCAGTGGAACACACACCATAAGTTGGGGGACCCTGTACAATGAGTCTCCCCACCCCTCCAGTAGCCTACAGGATAGTGTAACCCTCAAGGTGAAGGTTCAGTGCTCTTGGGAAGTTGTTTTTTAATCAGCAGTTGAATACTATTATATGGTTATAACAACATAACAATCTGTATATCAGGTTTTCTGAATTCCCAGTTTTGTGGGTTTCCCCCCAAAAGTAAGTTTCTTAACTCCTTTTGTTCCTATGGTGTAAGGGGAAATATATATCACTGCAATAAAAAAAGGGCTACAGACTTTAAAAAATGAAAGCTGGAACGTCAGTACACAGATTGTTAGATTGCTGTAACAATATTCAGTTGCTGGTTTTTTTTAAATGAAAAATCCCATGGGGAATGAGGGGAGTGCTGCAGCAGCAAGGAAACGACAAGGAAAACCGCCTTATGAAAGCCTCATTTCTGCGGTGCTGGATCAGCAGCTGAAGCAGCAATGGGGAAACTATGTTAGCCTGTCTCCATGCAGAAAGCACCAGTGAGCCCAGGAAGATCAGTATTTGTGTAGCTGTGGCAAGTGTAACATCTAGGCCTGCTTAGTGACCCCTGAAGTCAAGTGGGGTAGTGAGATGCAGATACTTCACTAGGTGTGGATTTCAGCTGCTTGTTGGATCCCCAAGCATCGAGAATAAATCCACGTTTCAAAGAAAGCAAAGTTTATTTCAAAGCATTGGAAAGCCACTCAAACACGTTCTTTGTTGGAACTGGGGACCAGCAGTTAGGGCAGACATGATAAAGGGATTCAAGTTAGATACAGAACCAATGGATAACGTTCCCGCCGGCGGGCAGGAGAAAACGGTTCCTTGCTCAGATCTTGGGAACCAGGCGTGTGCGTGTGATCAAACGTAAGGACTTTTCATTTCCCTGACTAGTGCAAGATTTAGTAGCCGCACTGGTGTGGTTTCCAGAGAGCATAGGAGACCTGGTAGTCTTGCAAAATCTATTTTGTTTATAATGATAAAACTGGAATAAATAAAGGAAACAGACCCCTAAAACTGTCAGCACAAATGCTAATCCTGCATCATGTTCCTTAAGAGAGGAACTGAACTATAAGAATATCTTGGCTATGCCCAAATCCATTGGATTTCCTTCCTTCCTTCCTTCCTTCCTTCCTTCCTTCCTTCCTTCCTTCCTTCCTTCCTTCCTTCTCCCAGTAGCTAAAGAGTATCACTTTCCAAACAGAGGTCAGAGAGCTTTCCAGCTCTCCAGGAATATTAATGTTCTTTCATAAAGCTCCTGACCAGATGTTAGTTTACCCAGTGAGGTCCTTTCACAGTAATCTAGACAGCCAAACACAAACACCTGCCTTTCTGTCCTGCTCACACATGCCAAGGTTGACAGTCCTTGGGGCTGAGCTCTGGTAAGCATCAACTATACCCCAGGATGCTGCCAGTTTAACATAGAATGTGATTGACATTTGAACTGATGTTGTTTGAATGGCTGGTTTTGTGTTGAGTTGAACACTTCAACAAACAGTTTTGAGGATTTGCTCAGAATTCAAAAGGAATAGCATTTCAAGTAATTTTGCATCAGTGTGGCAGCTGCTCAGATAGCCCCTGCTGATGTGCACTCATTGTTGTTCTGACTTTCTTAGATTAGGAATGTCCCCAGGTTCTTTTAAGATCAACTAAGTTAGAGCGCATCTACTGCTTGTGGACCTTTACAGTTGGAAGCATCTGTCAGTTGGTAGCATTCGTCATCCTCAGATGTCAAAACCTCTGGTTGAATAGAAGCAAGAAAACTACATTTTAATTTAGCAACAGGACTTTTCTCATAGCAGCATGACACTGTCTAAGTAGCATGAAACTGCCGACTAATATCTAACTGGTCATCATCCCTCACTAATTCAAGCTTGTGTGTTTACAAAAGATGCTTGAGATGTGCCAAACCATTCTGTATCCCATACATCAGTTCATCATAAGCATCCGTGATAGCTGTATATATGTTTTGTGGTGGTGTTATAACCTTGAAGTATCTCTATGCCTTAATAGTACCACTGAGATCAAGTGTGTTCTCCATAGCTAAGTGAAGGAGAGGTATTGCTTTATATAATTAAAAACAACATATATTTAGGGAAAATAGGGAAGAATCTTCTGTTGAGTTTTCCAGGGTTAAGACAAGAAGGATATAATGGTTGGTATCTATTGTACACCACTAGACCAGGGAAAAGGTGAAATTTATAGAAACGTAATCATCTTAGAAAGCATCAAAAGCGATTGACTTAAGAAAGACTTCAAGTTGACTTCCAAAGGTTTAGAGTGACTGATAAAACCCGCATATTAGTATTATTCTGTGCCAGTGCTCAAAGGTCCCAGTGAAACTTGGGCATCCATTATATCAATATACTTGATGAACACAAGGGCATAACCTGGCAAAGCTCTTCTGCCCCATTGAACGGAACAAGAGCTGTACAAGATCACATGCTCATTCATCTCAATGGGGCTTATGAAGGGGAATGATGCAGATTGTTCTGCGAGGTCATAATAATGATCATCGTCATGTCTTCTAATACTGAACTTGATAGTGATGTGCCTGTCATGATGGGTCAGCAACACATTATGTTTTTCCTCATTATGTCCCTGGCGTGGGTTGTAGATAGGTTTTGGGTTCTCTGTGCTCCTCTGGTGTGCAGGGGCCCAATTTACCTTTGCACCGTGACATGTGTGGAGAGGGAGCGTACACATTTCTGACCTAAAATGGTCCTGAGCAGCCACTGTTCTCTTACCGGGGGGGGGGGGGTTGCACATGTACTGATATTTAGATGTACTGTACACATCAGTTTCTGCAACTGTTAAGTATGGGAAAGCAGCATGAGTAGCCATCTAACAGTTTTCAAGCAGATTTCCGGAGAGGTAGCATACATATTTTCTCAATACATAAATATAAGCTCCCTCTCCCCACATACCATAGTCCCAATCCAAATTGGAGGCCCATGTCTGGGAACCAGAGTCCCCAGAACACATTTGTGATCCCAGCTGGGGATATACCTGGGGAAATGTAACTTGTAGGTGGGTAGAGGTTGGGCAGTGAAACAAGGATAGGCCAGGCTGGGATGAGGGGGTCAGTATTCTAGTGGGACTCTTTAGAAATGCAGAAAATATAGTTTTGTAAGTTAAAAAAAAAGTTTTTTAAAAAACCCTCCCAAAACCATGAAGATTAAGCATACTCCTTGCCCTTGACAATTAATGAGAGGGAATCAGGGAGAAAAGGAACTTGGATGACTTCAGGGGAGATTTCCATACATATGTTCTGTTGTCATAAGTGGCTTTCAAGGCAAGTAAGAAGCAAGCGTAGGTTGGCCATTGCCTTCCTCTGCAATGTCTTTCTTGGTGGTCTCCCATCCAAGTACTTACCCTGCTTAGCTTCCAAGATCTGATGAGACTGGGCTATACTATGCTATACTATTATATCCCCACAAGGAGAGATTTAGGGAAGGGAGATTTCCCAGTTGTTAAAGAATTGCTTTTTGTGAAACTGCATAGTTAACAAACGTAGCTCCGGCTCTTAAA